GATCCGATTGTAACTGACTGTGACTAGTAATAATCAGATACATAGAGATTAAAGACACATTTGCAAACATGTATTGTAAGTAGTGTTAAAAATGTAGGAAACAGCATATCTTAAAGTGAAATGGAGATCTTTAAAGGGTAAAAACTCATTCAATTTTATGTCTTACAGGGTTTATACTGAGTTTAATATTGTATGACTGTATTAATTCTACTGTGAACCTAAAAATTTACAGCCACCTTTGAAAGAGATGTATCCTTGCTCTGGAATTTGTTACTGAATATGTTAAAGCTGTAATGAAACACTTCTTCTAATCACATGTTTATTAAATTTTTAAAAATTAAAAATTATTTTCAGCTTGGGAATAAAGTTCAGGCTAGAGCTCTTGGGGAAGCCCTGAGTTTGATGACCAGCCTTGCAAAACGTAGAAATAAATGAATAAACAAATTAATGTTAACCGGGTATGGTGGCCCATGCCTTTAATCCCAGCACTTGGAAGGCAGAGGCACGTGGATGTCTATGAGTTTGAGGCCAGCCTGGTCTACATAGTGAGTTCCAGGTGTGCTGGGGCTACAGGGAGACCCTGTCTCAAAAAGACCAAAAAAAAAAAAAAAAAAAAAAACCGCCAGGTGTGATGGGCACACCTTTAATCCCAGCACTCAGGAGGCAGAGTTGCGTGGATCTCTGTGAGTTCGAGGCCAGTCTGGTCTACATAGTGAGTTCCAAGTCAGATGGAGGTAGAGGGAGACTCTGTTTCAAAAATACCAATATATATATGTAATAAATAAATGTTGCTTTTCAGGATCATAAAGTACTTGTTTACATTTCTAAAACTGCATTAACTCTATATCCCACCGTATACCATATTTTTTGTTTCATTTTGGGTTTTTTTTATTGTTGTTGTTTTAAAATCTTATTTATTATTTTTATTTTATGTGTATGAGTGTATTGCTTGCATGTATGTGAGTGCACCCATCTCATGCAATGCCTGCAGAGGTCAGAAGAGGGTGTCAGAGCCCCTGGAACAGGAGTTATGGATGGTTGTTAGCCACCATGTAGGTGCTAGGAATTGAACCTGGGCCCTCTGCAGGAGCAGCCAGTGCTCTTAACCACTGAGCCATCTCTCCAGTCCCTCATTTTGGGTTTTTGTTGTTTGTTTGTTTGTTTGGTTGGTTGGTTGGTTGGTTGGTTGGTTTGTTGGTTGGTTGGTTGGTTAGTTGGTTGATTTTTTTGTTGATTGTTTTTTGACAGGATCTCCCTAGTCACAGCCTGCCTGGAAGCCAGGATGTGAACCCAGGTGGCCTCAATCTTGCAGAGATCCACCTGCCTATGCCTCTTGGGGACTGAAATTAAAGGAACATGCCACCATGCCTGGCATCCTCATTTTGTTTTTTGAGGCAGGGTGCCACCTTGTAGCCCAGGAAGGCCTTAGACTTTCAGTGCTCCTGCCTCAGCTTCTTGAGTAGCTAGGATTATAGGCATGTGCTATCACACCTGTCTACTAACAGCTTTTTCAAAAAGCCAATTCTTTTTTTAAATTATTTTTAGTTGGGGACCAGAGAGATGACTCAGCAGTTAAGAGCACTGGCTACTCTTGGAGAGGACTCAGGTTCAATTCCCAGCACCCACATGGTGGCTGACAACCATTCATAATTCCAGTTCCAGGAGATCTGACACCCTCTTCTGACCTCCACAGGCATTGCACGACATGAGAACACCTACATACATGCAGACAATACACTTATGCACATAAAATAAAAATAATAAATACATTTTAAAAATTACTTTTAGTTATTTATCTCTTTTATGTGTATGAGTGTTTTCCCTGAATGTATATAAGTGCACCCATGTCGTACAGTCCCACAGAGGCTAGGAGAAGGTCCCTTGGAACTAGAGCTATGGATAATTGTTAGCTGCCATGTGGGTGCTGGCCCAGGTCTCTTAGAAGAGCAGCCACTGCTCTTAACCATCATCTCTCTCACCCCCTCAAAAAACTAATTTTTTTTTCTTTTTTGATTTTTTGAGAGAGGGTCTCCCTGTAGCCCCAGCTGACCTGGCACTTGCTATGGAGGTCAGGCTGACCTCAGTCTCACTGAGATTCACCTGCCTCTGCCTCCCAAGTGCTGGGACTAAAGGTGTGTGCCACCACTCCCAGCTAAAGAGCCAATTCGGGTCACTAGGCTTGTGCAGCAAGCACCTTCACCCACTGAGCCATCTCGCTGGCCATGGTGTATAGACTATTATGAATGCTGGGAACTGAACACCGGCTTCCCTGGAAGAGCAACAGTGCTCTTAATGGCTAAGCCATCCCTCCAGCTCCCCACATACAACATTTTTTTATTGTTGTTTTTTGTTTTGTTTTGTTTGTTTTTGAGACAGGGTCTCCTTAGGTAGCCCTGGCTAGTCTGCAACTCCCTATGTAGACTACACTGGCCTCAAACTCACAGAGATCCACCTGCCTCTGCCTCCCCATTGCTGGAGTTTATGATGTACTTACCATGCCCAACCCCAGATAAATGTCTTTTTGACATATTTATTTTATTTTATTTAGATACACGTCCAGGAATGAGATTTCTAGATCATGGTAGTTTTGTTGTTGCTGCTCCTTGAGAACCTTCCATACTGTTTTTCATAATAGCTTCACTAATTTCCATTTCTAGCCAGAACTAATTCTCCTCCTTTGATCAAAACATACCTTCTTAAGCTGGACAGGCGGTGCATGCCTCTAATCTCAGCACTTGGGAAGCTAAGGAAGGAGGATTGTGAGTTCAAGGCTAGCCTGGACTAGATCATGGCAAGACCCAGTCTCAAACAAACATCTAATCAGAGTTCTCTGAACTCATTGTTTGCTTTTCTACCTCTGTGATTTCACTCACACATTTTCTCCAGCCTGTAATAACCTCATCAACACAAAAACATAGTTCTCACCTCAAAGGGAATAAGCAACAGTTTATTCTGGTGCCATATATGACTGAACATCACCGGGAACACACATTCAGGTTTCCTCAAATACCATGTTCCATTGTGGAAGGGGTTACATGATGTCTGTATTAAGTACAGAACAAAGAAAGTTTTTTTGGTTTTGGTTTGGTTTTTTGGTCTTTTTGAGACATGATCTCCCTGTAGTCCCAGCATGCCTGGAACTATTTAGACCAGGCTGGCCTTGAATTCACAGACCTCCCCCTGCCTCTGCCTCCCAGAATGCTGGGATCAAAGGAGTGCACCACCACACCCACCTCCAAAGAAAGTTATAAATCAAAGTATTTACCATAGACATTGGGGGGGGGCGCCAAAGGTAGGTGGGTTACAGCAAAGCAGGGGAAGACTGTTACAGGTTGCAAATGCTATCTGATGACATGTTTAGGTTTGGGACTGGTGAAAGCTAGTGGTCTGCTGAGAAAACATTGTTTTGATAATCACAAGGATATCAGGTCAGACACAAGTGTGAGCAAATTTCAAAGAGATGACTTTCATAGAGACTAAAATTAGCCCAAGATAATTTGGCTCTAGTCTGCAACATTTTAACTACCATAATCTTGAAGTTTGGCCATTTGGCTTGCCTTGTAAAATCTTTCACTTTCACATAGGTGCAGTTTTATTCTCTTTCTTTTTCCTTCTGGGAACTTCACTTCTTTCACACTTTTCTATGATAATCAAGGAACTACACTTTCCTTAGGTGCCAAGTCCCATCCTTAATGTGAGCACTTTCATTATGACCTACTGTCATCCTCTATGATTTTTATTGTCTGTGCCTATTTAATACACATTTTATATATTTTCTCTTTTGAAATATATGTGCTATCTCTATCTCCCTAATTATATTTTAAATTCCATGAAAACAAGAATCATATTTTTGACTTTGAGAAAATGTCTTGAGATATGGTCCATGCTGGCCTTGATCTCCTAGGCTCAGGAAATCTTCCTAAGTAGATGGGACTGCAGACTCAAACCACCATTGCAGGCAGAAATCCTGTTTCATGTGTGTTTTTCTATCAATTCTTTAATATTAGAAGCTCTCAATAGAACTCAGTAGTTTCTATGGATGGTTAGTTCTTTTTTTTTGAGACGGGGCCTCCCTGTGCCCCAGCTGGCTTGGAACTCATCATGTAGACCAGGCTAGCCTTGAACTCACAGAGCTCCACCTACTTCTGCCTCCTGAGTGCTGGGTTTAAAGGTGCAAGACCAGGGTTTGGAGAGATGGTTCAGCGGTTAAGAGTCCTGGCTGTTCTTGCAGAAAACCCAGGTTCGAATCCCAGCACCTACACGGCAGCTAACAACCTTCAGTAACTCCAGGGGGTCTGACGCCCCTTTCTCTCCTCTGGGAGCATTGCACACACATAGGCAATAAATAGTATTTCTAAAAAGAAATGCAGAGATAAATTTTAAAAATATGAAAATAGGGGCTGGAGAGATGTCTCAGTGGTTAAGAGCACTGGCTGTTCTTGCAGGAGAGCTGGGTTTGATTCCTATCACCCACATGGCAAGTAACAAGTGTCCGTAACTCCACTTCCAGGGGAATTCAACACCCTCTTTTGACCCATGGGCACTGCATGACACCAGTGCACTCACACACATGGAGGCAATATACTCATACACATAAAATTAAGAAAATAATTTTTAAAATTTAAAAAGAAATTAACATTACCATCTAATTTAATCCTAATGTATACATCTGCATGTCCATATACATTTTCCAGTATAAAGAGTTAGAGTTTCACATGGTTGTTTATTGTTTTATGTTGTTGGTATGATCAGCTTTCAAAGGCAAATGTTATAGTATATTTCAGGACACCTGTGTTCACTTCATCAGTTCTTTGAAACTATATTTGGATGTGCAAGCTATTAAAAGCTTCATGTACTGAGTGACCTTTCAGGCAGGATTTAGATCAGATGCTCAAATCGCTTCTGCCTGTTGCTGAGCGGAAAACAGAAAATCTTGGATTCAAACATCTATTGGGTTTTCCTTTGCTTTCTTTTGTTTCCTTTCATTTTGCCTTAAGAAGATGAACAATGAAACAACTCTGATATCCTTGAAGGAAGCAATGAAAAGGTGGCTCAGGGCTACAGGGAGGGGATAAGCATAGGTCTGCTCTTCCTGGAAGATGGGGAAGAGAAGAATGAAGATAGAAATATGCAAAGAGTGGCATACTAATTAGAGCTGTCTCTGTTAAAGTCATTTAAGCCTTGCAGGTTCCAAAGTATGTAAACTGGTAATAAAGAAAGATCTGGGGGTTAGGGATTTAGCACAGTAGTAGAATGCTTGTCTAATGGAAAGATCCTGCTTTCTATCACACACACACACACACACACACACACACACACACGGGAGAGACACAGAGAGGGAGAGGCAGAGAGACAGAGACGGACAGAGAGACAGAGAAATCTGCCCAGAGGCATTATAACTCCATTCACTTCATGCTAGATTTATGGAATATTAAATGTGGTTGCTGCCCTCAAGGAGCTCATAGCCTATAGGAATGACAGAATTCATTTTTAAAAACTTACAATTTAATGACCTTTTATGGTGATGTTCCCCAAACACTAAAGGAACATGAAGGGGAGATCAGTCCATTCTGCCTTAGAAAATGTCTCTTCATAGAGGGATATTTTAACTGGATCAGAGTATGAAAGAGTTTATGAGGAAATAAAATAGGGGAAGGAATTTTAGATGATCAAACAGTACATATAAGCAACATATAAGCTTGGAATTATGTATTAGTGACCAGAATATGTGAGAGAACTGGCAAAAGGTAGGAGAAAAGGCTTTGTGTGTCTTGCCCTAAAGCCGGGTGGCATAAAAGGTCTGTCATTAGTTAACATGATCAGAATAGTACTTTAGAAAAATGTCTGGTGGTGGATTAAAGGCTGGATCAAGAGTCCAGTTATACTACTATAATCCTAGGTCCAGGTGAAAGATGATGAGCTGGTTTACTGGGCATGGAGAGCAGGAGATAGGTTCAATAGATAGTAATTGGGGGGGGGCAAAGTTGAGCATTATTCTTAGATTTCCAAACTGAGTAAATGTTGAGTTCATTAACTGAGTTAGGGAAATGTTGTAAGAAACAATTACACCAAGATTTACATGTTTAAATTTTTATTACATTTATTTATTTATTTATTTATTTATTTATTTATTTATTTATTTATGTGTAAGGGGGTGCATGATTGCCACAGCAGCCATGCGGAAGTCAGAGGACAACTTGTGGGAGTCAGTTCTCTCCTTCCACCATGTGGGGCTAGGGGATGGAACTCAGGTAATCAAGTTTGGAGACAAGTGCCTTCACTTGCTGAGCCATCTCACCTGTCTTCACGATTTTTAACATTTACTGGAATGGTGTGAGCACCCTTTGGTGAAAGGATTCCGAAGAACTTCTGCAATTATATATTTTTATTGATAAGCTAGAGTTTCTCTCTAGAGTTTAAGCTTGAAATGACCTATAACATTATAGCTTATAGGTCTAAGAGTTAAATACTATACTAACTGACAAAGCTTGCCATGCAAACAGAGATTACCACCACATGAATTGTATGGGCTTATACTCCTAAAAAATACACATTTTTAGTGACTTAAAATTTTATTTATTTTTATGTGTATGAGTGTTTTCCCTGCATGTATGTAAGTGCACCCACACTGTACAATGCTCATGGAAACCAGAAGAAGGTATCAGATCCCCTGGATCAGAGTTAAGGACAGTTGTTGTTTGCTATGTGGGTGCTGGAAACCAAACCCAGGTCATTTGCAAGAGCAGTCAGTGCTCTTAACTGCTGAGCCATCTCTCCAGGCCCCAAAATATACATTTAATTTTTTTAAAGTTTATTTTTATGTTTTTGAGTGTTTTGTCTGCATGTAAGTACACCTGTACATGCAATGCGCACAGGGGCCAAAAGAGGGTGTTGGATCTCCTGGAACCGGAGTTACAAATGGTTGCTTGCTGCTATGTGGGTGCTAGGAACTGAACCCAGCTCCTCTGCAAGAGCAGCCAGTGTTCTTAACTTCTGAGCCATCTCTTCAGCCCCCCCAAAATACACATTTATACTGAATTTATCTATGTAGAAATAGAAACCAAAACAGAGAAAATTCCTCCATACTAATTTCTGAAGATGGAGGGAGAGGGTTCATAGGTTAAGCTCTGGACAGTTGAACATCTCCATCTAGGTAGAAAGATGCAAAACAGATGAAAATATACATCTAGGAGAAAGGTAATGCCTAAAACTAAATTAGTCTTGGGAGAAATTAAACCAAGAGAAGATGGTCAAGGGTACTGACATTGAGCAAGCACAAAAGCATTCAGTCAAGGGGAGGTAACATATATTTTCATATCACTTCCTTCATTAAATACAATGTGGCTGGGGGCTGGAGAGATGGCTCAGTGGTTAAAAGCATGTATTGCTCTTCGAGAGGACCTGAGTTGGATTCCCAGCATCCACATCAGGCAGCTCACAACCATCTGTAATTCTAGCATCTCCATGGGATTCAATGCCTCTGGTCTCTGTGAGTGCCAGTACTCACGTGCACATACATAGACACACACATACAGATAATTAAAAATAAAATGAATATGGGGCTGGAGAGATGGCTCAGCGGTTAAGAACATAGGCTGCTCTTGCAGAGGACCCAGGTTTGATTCCCAGCACCCACATAGTGGCCAACATCTGTCCCTAACTCCAGTTCCAGGGGATGTGATGCTCTCTTCTGACCTCGGTGGGCATTGCATGACACAGGTGCACTCACACACATACAGGCAATATACTCATACACATACAATAAAAATAATAAATAAAATAGATTTTAAAAATAAAATGAATCTTTAAAAAGAAAAAGGACAATATGGGTGGTTTCAGCCAAGTGAATTGTGTCACGCTAGTTCTTTGTGGTTCTGTTAGATACAACTCCAGGGCTACTGTGCCCTCTGATGGTTAGGACTACATCAGTCCCTGTGTGGACTACTCAACTCAACGTCTCATTCATAGCACAGGTGTCAGCTGTATGTTATAGAATGTTACCACTTCCTTACAAGGTCTCTGCTAGCTATAGAGCTCTTACCTAGCCTGGATATAGTTCAGCAGTAGAGCCCTTACCTAGCAAGTAGGGGGCCCTAGGTTTAATCTCCTGCATCATCAACAACAAAAGAAAAAAAAGTGATAAAATTTGAGCTGATCCTTGAAGGAAAAACAGATTTGGAAATCAGAACAGTCATTGGCCTCAGCAGGTTATATATATGGTACTAAATCCCAACCTTTTCAAACTTAATTATCTGTAGCATTGAGACTCTTTAAAACAAAACAAAAGAAACGAACAAAAAAAACCAAGGGGCTGGAGAGATGGCTCAGTGGTTAAGAGCACTGATTGCTCTTACAGAGGACCTAGGTCCAGTTCTCTGACAACTGTCCGTAACTCCAGTTCCAGGGAATCTGACACCTTCCTTTGACCTCTACAGGCAATTCCTGACATGGATGCACTTACACACATGTAGGCAGTCATTCATACACATAAAATAAAAATAATAAAATATTTGTTAAATAAATTTTTTTAAAAAAGAAAAAAGACAGGAGTCCTACGTAGCCCTGGCTGACCTGAAACATGCTATGTAGACCAGGCCAGCCTCAAACCCACAGAGATCCACCTGCCTCTGCCTCCCAAGGCTGAGATGAAAGGTGTGTGCCAACTATGACCAGCCCAGAGACAGTACTCTTGTTACTGCTCAGCCCATTGCCTTTTGTAGCGTTCTAAATAAACTTAAAAAAAAAAACCAAAAAACTAAAAATGGAGACTGTAAGATGGTTCAGTGGGTACAGTGGGTAAAGGCACTTGTTGCCCAAGTCCTGACAACCTCCTCAGACCTTCATACACACTCTTCAAACCCCTCCCTCCACACACAAAGAAATAATCTAATGTTTTGGGGGTTTTTTTAAGCAAGAAATGTCACTCAGGAGGCAGAGGTAGGTGGATCTCTGTGAGTTCAAGGCCAGCCTGGTATACATAGTGAGTTCCAGGTCAGCTGGGGCTACAGGGAGACCCTGTCTCAAAAGACCAAAAAAAAAAAAAGTAAGAAATGATTGTTTTGCTTCTTGTGGTTATGAGAAACAGCAATGCTTGCTAAAATATTCTGTGAAGTTTAAAATATAGCACAAGACACAAAAGATAGGTAATTCAACAGTTCAAAAGTCTGACACTACTGGGACTGGAGAGAGAGCTCAGTAGTTAAACAACATATTGCTCTTGCAGAGGACCAAGGTTCAGTTTCTAGCACCCACGTCAGGCAGCAAGCTGCCTGTAACTCCAGCTCCAGGAGACCCGACATCTCTGGTCTCCATAGGTACCCGCACTCATGTACACATGCACACACACGCACACACACACACACACACACAATTTTTCAAATCTCTTTTTTTAGAGTTTGACACCATGAAGAGGGAAAGAACAAGAATGATAGCTAGAGGGCATGGCAAACAGGAACATTTGTTCATAATTTTTTTTTTTTTTGTCTTTTTGAGACGTCTCCCTGTAGCCCCAGCTGTCCTAGAACTCACTATGAAGACCAGGCTGGCCTTGAACTCACAAACATCTGCCTGCCTCTGCCTCCTGAGTGCTCTGATTAAAGGTGTGCACCACCATGCCCATCTTTGTTCATAATTTTAAACTGAAGAATTTATCTAAATTTGGTAGTGGATGTTAACCTATTAGAGGCTTAGGATTGACCCCAAACTGAACTTACTTTGATTTTTTTCATCCTACAGAGTAGAAAACAAACTTCAAGCTCTAGATACACAGTTCAAAGAACTGGATATCACCAAGGATAATCTGACACAGAAATTTGAACATCATAGGAAGACTTTAGCAAGCCAAACTGCCCAAGATGAGCTATGGACAGCAGTGCTGGCACTCAAGTGAGTGATGACTGAGCAATTCAGCCTTTCGAGACTTTGTGAGACCCTTCAGTGGTCATTCCAAAGTTGCATTTAATGTGGTCCATATTATATTAAATTTTCTTGGGTTTATTCATTCAGAGAAGATTCATTTGAGCACCTGTTTATAGGCTAGGCACTAAAATACACACCTTATGATAAGAACCTCTTATATGCCCATCTTGCTAACAGAAATGAGTAACATAATTCCCTTGCTATGAGAAGCCTAAGCTACAGGAGGCCTGAGCTAATATGGTTTGGTACAGATCATAATTCTAGAATAATTATTTTCTGAAATATAACAGCTGGTGTTTCTGGTGGGTTTATATCAAGTCAACTGATCAAATGCAGTTTATGTTTGCACATAAAATGTTCCATTTAAGAAGCTTTCCATGTTTTTACAGGTTTACCTCAATGGAATTGAATATTTTATACAGCTATGTCATTGAAGTCCTTATCTATTTGCATACTCAAGTTCTTGAGAAGCTGCCAGACCTGGTGAGAGGTCTTCCCACCTTAGCCTCTATCCTTAGGCGAAAAGCCAAGAATAAGCACATTCAAGTCGTGTGGGAGTCTGTCCTAGAGGATTTGGGGCTGCAAGAGAGAGATGTCATGGTGCTCTGTACCTTCTTTATTGCATACGGTAACAAGGCAGAACACTTTGCTGCTAACGTGAGACAGATGTACATCAAGGATATTACATACATGATCACCAACATGGTAAAGAATCAGGCTCTGCAGGATGGTTTACTGAGGGCTGTTCATATCATTGAGAAAGGGAAAGAAGTGAAGATCCCTGAAGAGCAAAAGTTACCCCTAAAAGAGTTGATACCATCACCCAGAAACTAGCCTGTTACATAGTGATTCTACTTTTAGTCAATCATATTGTAAATAGAAAAAAAAAGCAAAATTTAATTATTGCATACTTATTTTTATAGTAAAAAGTGAGAGGCCGGGCATGGTAGCATACACCTTTAATCCCAGCACTCCGGAGGCAGAGGCAGGTGGATCTTTTTGAGTTCGAGGCCAGCCTGGTCTACATAGTGAGGTCCAGGATAGCTGGGGCTACAGGAAGACCCTGTCTCAAAAACACCAAAAAAAAAAAAGTGAGGGAAGCATTAAATAAATTATGACGAATTGATGTAATGAATATTTTGTGTATAACTATATAAAAGAATTAACAAGCTCTTTTTAAATTATTTATATTTTTGTGTATGAGTGTATTGCCTGCATGTATGTGAGTGCATCTGTGTCATGCAATGCTCGGCAGTCAGAAGAGGGCTTCAGATTCCCCTGGAACTGGAGGTTTGTAGCCACCATGTGGGTGCTGGGAATCAAACCTGGGTCCTCTGTAAGATCAGTCAGTGCTCTTAACCGCTGAGCTATCTCTCCGGGCCTGCTCTTTTTATTTTTAATTTTTTTGTTTTTTTTGAGACAGAATCTTCCCTGTAGCCCCAACTAGCCTGGAACTCACTATGCAGACCAGAGATCTGCCTGTTTCTGCCTCTTCAGTGCTGGGATTAAAAGTGTGTGTCATCACACCAGGCTCAATAAGCTCTTTTTATAATGACATAGAGGGAGTCAGGAGGTATAGCCCATAGCACATGCTTAGCATGCATGAGACCCTGAGGTCAACCCCTGACACCACAAAAATAAATATATTGTGTATTAGTTTAGATATGTGCACTTTGGTAGTTATACCTAAGAAAGTGATATTGTTTTAGGAAAGAAAACTAAGAGGCTAGGAGTCAAAAGCAAAGGAATGCTTCCTACTGGATAGTGGACTGCTGTCCCCTAGGCCTGGCATAACTATCACTGTCTTGAATCAGAGCTGCTGTGATTGGCCCAAGGTCATGAGATCAGACCTATTAACACTCTCTCACTGAAGGGAGAGGGGAATGTTACTTTCATCCAGCCACTTATCTTTACCCCATCCACAAGCTGCATATACTCTTGCTTCAGTGCCGCATGGACTTGGTGGGGGAGGCTAGAAGATATAGGGGTAGAAGGGTGACTGTGGTTGGGAGTCTACTGATGCACCTTTTGTGGGTCATCCCCTATGCTGAGGTGGAGCTTTTCAGTGATGTGGCTGCCTTTGCTCCTGTAAGTAAACCCTCACTCCTGTTTCTTTGAGTAACATTAATAAACTCATTGGTTCACCAAGCTGGATTAGACTCTTTGGTCTATCAGTGCCCCATTTGGGGTGAATAGACATTTCTGTATGCTTCCCTAGGAAGAGTGACACAATTAATGCGTTTTGAACTTTGTAAATGTATTACTTATTAAAAGACAGTTAAACAATTACGAACCTCACATATATATCATCTGATGCTGTAATGTATTGGTGTACATATAAATCATAGTTATTTACACTGGAAAGAAGGTTTACATTGATAGTTTACTTATAATATTTATTGAACACCAAATGCTAAGTGCTATGAAGAACAGAAATATTAGAAAATGTGGACCCTTAAGGTGAGGAGTTAAGTGCCAACATTTTATTTAGGAGGTATATATTCTGGAGAGTCAAGATGAGGCAATATGTTGGAAAGAAGTCAAGAAGGGAAGTAGAAAAGGATGTTCACTACAAGGCAGTGTGGTCTCTGCTGGTCCCACCTTGAAGATGAGCAATGAGAGACAAAGCAAGTTGGTCAGCACACTCGTCTATCACTTTGATCTTCCTCCAGACACTGGAAAAATCACACGAAAGACAAAAGAATGTATCTGTTGTGCTCACTTAGCCTACTGTTTTCAGTTGCTCACATTGCTACCTCTTTCTCCAAGTATACAGGCCCTCCTACCATCACTGAAGTTAGCTCCTCCTCCAGTCTGATGATTCAGTTCAATGGCCTGAGTCAATCCCCAGAATCCACATAAAAAAAAAAAAGAATGCCAGAACTGGGCATGGTGGCACACGCCTTTAATCCCAGCACCTAAGAGGCAGAGGCAGGCAGATCTCTATGAGCTTGAACAGCCTGGCCTACATAGCAAGTTCCAGCTGGGGCTACAGAGAGACCCTGTCTTAAAAAGGTTAAAAAAAAAAAAAAAAAAAAAAGTGGGAGGAAAGGGGGCCTTTTTTTTTTTTTTTTTTTTTTTTTTTTTGGTCTTTTTGAGACAGGGTCTCCCTGTAGCCCCAGCTGTCCTGGAACTCACTATGTAGACCAGACTGGCCTTGAACTCACAAAGCTCTACCTGCCTCTGCCTCCCGAGTGCTGGAATTAAAGGCGTGTACCACCATGCCCGGCAATGGTGCACATTTGTAATCCTAGCACTCCAGTGGCCAGATGGAAAGCAGAGACAGGAGAACTGGCCAGAAACTTGTGTACCACCTAGCCTGGAGTGCCCTGCCCAGCAGCAGAAACAAGAGAGACCCTGCTTCGACAAGGTGGAAAGTGAGAACCAACTCCCCAATGTTGTCCTCTGACCTCCACATGCTCCTGTGTACACATACACTATATACATTTTTTAAATATGGCAAGAGGGTCGGGTGTGGTGGCACATGCCTTTAGTCCCAGAGGCAGAGGCAGGTGAATCTCTGTGAGTTCAAGGCCAGCCTGGTTTACATAGTGAGTTCGAGGCAAGCTGGGGCTACAGGGAGACGCTGTCTCAAAAAGACAAGAAAAAGAAAAAAAAAAGTGACAAGAGGAGCTAATGACTATGAGTCCAAAAAGCAACAAGACCAAGGAAACCTTAGGACGCGCATAAAATTACCCTTTGCACAACGCACAAGTACCCAGAGCTCAAAATCAAAATGCAAGAGTGTACAAGAGAAACTATCCCTAAGTAAAACAGGATTAGGTGAATTTAGAAGGGTATCCGCTGCATAGAAATGCTTCAAATTGATCTTTCCCCAAAAGCAATGGCATAAAAGCATGAGACTAGATAGCAGCGAACAGAGTATGGTTGAATGCTGAAAAGAGTAACAGGACAGGCAGGCATGCTTGGGATGTGCCTGTAGCCCCAGCAGCTAGGGAGGCTGAGGCATGGAACCTGCCAAGGAGTTCAGCATATGTCTAGGCAACATAGACATTAATTTTTTTTATTACATTTGTTTCTATGTGTGTGCGCACATCCATGGGCATGTGTGGAAGACAGAAGACAACTTTTGAGTCAGTTTTCTCCTTCTACCATGTATGACTGTCAGCCTTGGCAGCAAGCACCTTTATGCATTGAGCCATCTTGCCAGCCCAACATAGTCCTTTTGCTTACTGTTTTCCTTCCTCCCTCCTCCCTTCCTCCCTCCCTTCCTCCCTACCTCCCTCCCTTCCTTCCTTCTTTCCTTCCTTTTTTCTTACAGGGCCCCCTATGTCGTCTAGGCTGATCTCAGACTCACTATGCAGCTGAGGATGACCTGGAACTCCTGCTCCTCTTGCCTCTGCCTCTACTTCCAGAGTGCTTGGATGGCAAGCACATACCACTATGCCTGCTTTGAAACTTCACACACATACACACACAACAACAACAACAACAACAACAAAACCAAAACCGAACAATGAGATTCCATGGAAAAGGCTGTTGTGGATACATTAGCAAGCCTGAAATCACAGGCTAAAGGACTGATAGGGTAGTGTTAGGTTAGTGACTACAGCTTTCTAAACCCACATTACCACAAAGTCCTTACACTCAGTGGTAGGAGCACTGGCCTAGCAAGTGCAAGTCATGGGTTTCATTCCCAGCTTCACAAAACAAACAAAACCCCCAAAACTGTCTACCATGAATCCACATCGCCTTGCTTGGGATCAATCTAGAAGTCATTCCTTTACACAACCTGAAAGCTCAGCAAACTCAAAGACCGTAAAGGCTGTTTTCATGTACAGTGATTTTCTTTTTCCTTCTTACATACCTATTTATTATAGTCTCAAAAAATGCAGGCCTAGTTTTTAAATATTAGAGAGCACATTCTTCAGTATTTCCTACCATTTTTCTAGCCAAGCCAAATTCTACTGTTTTTCAAAGAATTTTCAGTTCAAAAAGTAATTAGGGTTTGAGATGTAGCAGAGCATGTGTTTAGCATGGGCAAGGCCCTTGGTTCAAACAGAAGCAACACACACACACACACACACACACACCCCACACATGTGCATGTGCACACACACAAATTGTGAAACTTTTCTTGTTCATCTTTACAGAACTTCAGTTGCTGTAGATTGAAACTTAATTACAAAGTAGTGTACATAAATAATGCACATGACATAAACAGTAACCTCCAGACTTGACACAGTCTTAATACTTGTTGCCAAGCCTATGGGCCCTAAGCCTTTTAAAAGGAAGGCCGGAGTGGGGGTGCCAGAGAAATGGGGTTAAGAGCACTGCTTTTGCAGAGGACCTAGATTCGGTCCTCTGTACCCACATGGCAGCTCACAACTGTCTATAACTCCAGTTCCAGAGGATCCAATGTCCTCTTCTGGCCTCCAGGACACTGCACGAACATGTACACTTACATACATGCAGGTAAAACACCCATACACATAAAACACAAATACAATTTAACAAAAAAAAGAAGGCTACAGACTTCAGGAAGCTGTGCCCCAGAAGGCAGTATGTGCCAGGCTGTCGCAGGTCTGAGAATTCTCTGGCCAAAACCTTCAACCTTTCTGGTGGAATCAACCTTCTTAGAGATTCTAGGGGCAGGAAGGGGTGGGGAAAGTTGAGCCAGGGTCTGTTTGACTTGCAACTCTCCATTCCAGGCTGGATTCCAACTCCAAATCCTCCTGCTTCTGTCTTTGCCACCTAAGTGCTAGGATTGCAAGTCATATGTGAACATACCAGCTTTAGAGATGCCTTTTCTCTCTTCTTGAGAAAGTATCTCTCAGTAGCCCTGGTGGGCAAAATTCACAAAAATCTGCCTGCCTCTGCTGCCTAAGTGCTGGGATTAAAGGTGTGTACCACCATGCTCAGCTAGAGATGCTTTTCAAGGTTAAATTTAGGCTGCTGATGAGGACCCAGTTTGTTATCTATTTATTGAGACCCAGTCTCATGTGGCCCAGGCTGACCCAGAACTTGATATGTAGCTAAGGCTGGCTTTGAACTCCTAATCCTTTTGCGTCTACCTCCCAAGAAGAGGGGTTTACAGGCACATGCTGCCATGCAGAGCTCTTAGACTGAACATATCAAACCAAATGGAGCCTTTTATTCATGCAAAGTTTCAGACCATGAAACCCTAACTAAACATCCAAAAAACCAGGAGAGAAATAACAGACAAACCTCCATATTGGCCAATTTTAGCCAGTATAAGAATATGCTCCTACTCTAACCTTTACGAGAGATTCTTTGAAACCACCAATTCATTTTTTTTGTTCCTGTTTTTCTCAGATGTTAGTTATCTATCTATAAACCCAATCTCTGTTCAGCTCATCAGAAGACACATTTTATAAAGAATTTCAAACAAAAGCCAATAAAAATCTTTAATTTGTGTTGGGAGCTATTAGTGTAAGCACAGCCATTTTGTACATTGAGCCGTGGCAGGCTTGCTTATTTCACCTTGACTCAAGAGTTTGCGCGTTTTGCACACCAGTACCTAATTATTCTGCCAAGTCAGGAGGAATGTGCTGATAATTTAGGGAAGATGGTTAAATGGTGGAATTCACAAGTAGTTGACAGCTCCTTGACCCTCACAGATAAAGGTGGGAAAAAACCGCTGTTGAAGCTAATTAAGCTAAGCAAACTGGCTATCTGATGTCCTACTGTATAAAAAGGCTGAGCTAAAATAAACCAGGGCTGCAGTCTCTGACAGTCCTCTCAAGTATCTTTTCTCTGTCTCTTGTTTTTTCTTTCAATCCTCACTCCCCCTTTCAGGTGCTGTTCATCTCGGCCAGCTGGCACCGGCAAATTTGGGGCTGGAGAGATGGCTCAGCGGTTAAGAACACTGGTTGTTCTTGCAGAAGACCAGATTCGAATCCCAGCACCCATATGACAGCTAACAACTGTAATTCCAGTCCTAGGGGATCCAATAGCCTCTTCTGACCTCCGCGGGAATTGCACGACATGGGTGCACTTACCTACATGCAGGCAATACACCATACACACAAAATAAAATAAATATTTTTTAAAATCTTTCATTCGTTGCAATTTTGTCTTTTGGCATTAAAAATTAAGCTTAGTTAATCCAAACAAAAGGGCAGTTTGAAGAGTACTGGAGAAAAATTGCAAAAAATTACTGTTTGGGACTGGAAAGATGACTCAGTGGTTAAGAGCACTGCCAACTCTTGCAGAGGACCCAGTTCCGGTTCCGGTTCCCAGCGCCCTGGCAGCTCCCAACCATCTGTAACTCCAGTTCCAGGGAAATCCAAAGCCCTCTTCTGATCTCTGAAGGCATTGCCCGAAACCGGTGCACTTTACAAACATGCAGGCAAAACAATCATGTTAAAATAAAAGTAAAATGTTTTTAAAAATTCCTGTTTGGGGCTGGGCATGGTGGTAGCATGCCTTTAATCTCAGCACTCGGAAGGTGGAGGTAGGTGGATCTGAGCGTTCAAGGCCAGCCTGGTCTACATAGCGAGTTCCAGGCAAGCCAGGGCTACATAGTGAAACCCTACCTCAAAACAAAAATTACTTCTTGGGTCTTGGTATACAGACCGCACTGTTCTGTAGCTTGCGAGAGCCAAACCTAAGTCCCGGGTAGCTGAGACAAACAGGCGGGTAATTGGTGGAAACCCGCCAGGCAGGGCTGAGCGAGCAACTCCCGGAAGTCCCGCCTACCCGGTAGTTACGCCTCCGCCTTTGGGCCGCTCCCTGGGGCTGCAGTGCGGTTTTGGCGGGCGATTGTGACCTTGCCAGCCGTTCTGTAGCTGCTCCCGGCCGCCGCGCACAGGCTGTTTGGCGGGCTGGAGGAAGTCGGGTCCGTCTGGGTCTCGCGGCGGTGGGAAACCACGAGGCGAGCCACAACTGGACCGAGGAGGCTGGCGGGGCTGACTCAGCGAGGCGGAAGTCCGGCCCGCGCTCCAGCCTGGCTTCCCGCGGTGGTTGCTCTCTGGGAGCGGCCGGGCAGCCCAGAGCAAAGCGTCCTCCCGGGTAGGGGAGCCGGAGGCGTCCCGTCCGCCTTTCACTCCGTCGCCGCGGCGTGTCCTTGCACGGTATCCACCTTGCGGCTGCTCCTGTTCTCCTGACACCTAGGGTGCCTGTTGGCCTCAGCCTGTTGAATCCCGGATTAGGACGCTGCTGGGTATAAAACCCGAACACGGAACTGCACACTAAACCCTGTGTTTAGGCGAAAATGCTTTTTTTTCCTTGCAGGTGTTGACGTTGTTAGGCTAGCATGTCAAAATGGCTGTATCCGAAAACCGCATCCCTTCGTTGTCGGAGTGCCAGTGCCAGATTTGTATGGAAATCTTGATCGAGCCGGTTACCCTCCCCTGCGACCACACGCTCTGTAACCCGTGCTTCCAGTCGACCGTCGAAAAGGCCAGTTTATGCTGTCCCTTCTGTCGCCGCCGCGTCTCTTCGTGGACTCGGTACCATACCCGAAAAAAATCTCTCATCAATACGAAGCTGTGGGAGGTAATTCAGAAACACTATGCAAAGGAATGCAAGCTTAGAATCAATGGACAAGAATCAAAGGAAATCGGTGAGTAATCCAGCAGATTCATTGGTTAAAACCGAATCTTATAAAGCGAATCATCAGTTTTCCATTTTAAAACAGGAAGAAAAAGACTAAATTGTTTTTTTCTTGAGGATTTGTGGTTTTATGAATTTCCCATTCAGAGTCGACCACTCTGTAGACAAGTGGTCACGTGACATTCCTATGTTTATAGTTGTTGCATTATTGTCTCTCACCTGTTTATTCATCTCCAGTCATTTCGTTCTCTGTTGTTTTATTCAGCAAGCCTAAAATCGATAACGATTACCACTGTCGTGTAGTTTAGTCATTTTTGGTTGAACCCTTCCACCTTGGGGACCTAAGAGCTGCAAAATGATCTCTTGCTCCAGTCAGCTAGCCATTATTGCAGTGATCCAGTCAGTGTTTTCTGTTCAGCCCTTGAATGTGGTGCCTGTACTGTAGTGGTCCTGCCATTTGCTTTCTTAACTATTTTTAAACAACAGCTCTTCAAAAACATCTTTGTAGAGATATGTAATATATCAGTCATCCATTTAAAGTGTAGCTTAATGAGATTGGCATATTTTTAATAATGAAGTATGTAACATGAATCTTACTGGTTTTTAAAAAAATATTTTTATTTTATGTGTATGCGTGTATTGCCTGCGTGTAGGTGAGTGCACGTGTGTCATGCAATGCCCTCGGAGGTCAGAAGAGGCTGTCAGATCCCCTGGGAATGGAGTTACAGTTATCAGCTGCTGTGCTGGCTAGCTTTAGTGTCAACTTGATACACCTGGGTTGAGGGAGCCTCAGTTGGGGAATTGCCTCTATTGGACTGGCCTGTGGCCATGTCTGTGGGGCATCTTCTTGATGAGTGATGCGGCAGAGCCCAGCCCATTGTGGGTGGTGCCACCCCTGAACAGGTGGGCCTGTGTTACTTAAAAAAGCAGGCTTTTCAGGGGCCAGGGAGCAATCCAGCAAGCAGTGTTCCTCCATGGCCTGTGCTCCAGCTCCTGCCTCCAGGTTCTTGCCCTGAGTTCCTACCTTGGGCTCCCTGATGAACTGTGACCCAGGAGATGTAAGATAAACCCTTTCCTCCCCAAGTTGGTAGTGGTCAGAGTTTTGTCACAGCAATGAAGAAACAAACTAGGACAGCTGCCATGTGGGTGCTGGGATTCGGACCCAGGTCTTCTGCAAGAACAACCAGTGTTCTTCACCACTGAGCTATCTCTCCAGCCCTGTTTACTTTTTTTTTTGTTTTGTTTTTTGTTTTTTTGAGGCAAGGTCTCATTATGTAGCCTTGGCTGCCCTGGACCTATTTGTAGACCAGACTTGCCTCAGATTCAGAGAATCTGCCTCTGGAATTAAAGGTGTGTGCAGAGGACTCATTCTGTTCCCAGTACCCAAATGATGGCCAGTAGCCATGTGTAACTCCAGTTTCACGGGATCCGACGTCCTTTTCTGGCCTTCTCAGACATTGCATGCATGCGATGCACTTAATAACGCATAAAAAATAAAGGCATGTGATACTATCTAGGCAAGTAAACAAACTGAAACCAGTTTTTACAAAATAGGAAGCCATTGGAAGGAAGGGGACTGGTGCAGCAGAAAGAAGGAAAACATAAGCCTTGTAAGGGAAGGCTACTTGAGGTGAGAATCTGCCCCTTATCTGTCCATAGAACACTTCACACCCAGGAATATGAGGCACAGCAGAGTCCAGAGTTAAGTATGAAAATAAAAGCAGGAGAATTCAGTTCACACACAGATCAGAATACCCAAGTGAGAGGCATTTCTTGGATGTGTGCACAAGTACACACATGCAGATTTCTCCAAATAAAGTGAACCGCTAGAGAGAGCCAGAGCAATTATCATCGGAATTGGTGACCCAGAGTGAAGCCCTCTGCAGTCTGCTTAGCACAGGCTTTTTTGCTTGACCTTAATATCTACCAGTCAGCAGTAAGTGCACAGAGCTTTTATTCCAGGCCTTGTTTTAGAATATAAATGTAAACCAAGTATCACAAGACATTCTGAATAAATCTTTGGATTAAAAGAAAAATTTGAGCTAGGCATAATCCCAGCACTTGGGCGGCAGAGCAGGGGGATCTTCGTGAGTTCAAGGCCAGCCTGGTCTACGTTGCAAATTCCAAGCCACCAATAACTACAGGGAGACCCTATCTCAAAAAGACAAAAAAGAAAAGAAAAATTTGAAGCTATATAAGAAAACAAAACCAGTCTGGAGGTAAAAAATACTTCAGGAATGGAAAGTAATCTGTGTTTGCGCACATGCACAGACTCTAGAGTTTATTCCACAAAGGAAGTATCTAAGCAAAATGGAACATCAGAAAAAAAAGTGTCTGCTTATGGGACAGCTTGTTTAACTCTAGAAAACTCACATCCATTATTTGTTTTTTCTTTTTCAAGAAAACCCAGATTTTGTTTGGGGGTGAGTGTTGCTGGGGCTTGAACTCATGGCATTGTAGACAAGCTTTCTACCACTGAGTTATATTTCCAACTCCAGAAACCTGAATTTTAATGTGAAATCTTTTTGGTTTAAATGTTGGTGCTGGGAGGGGGGGTATACATCACATGTGTGTAGGATTCATTTGACCTGTAGGTCAGCAGTTTGTAAATTCTGCAGTAGAGGAACTATAAATGGTGGTATTATAAGCTGGGATGAAGTATGCTAAGTTCTCATTTATTTTAGCTGTTGAAAGATAGTCTACTTGAGATAATGCAGAGAAATACCGAGGAGAGTTGGTTCCTTCAGAAATAGGAAGGGATAGGAATGGGCTTAGTGGTAAGAGTGTTTGCCTCCTCTACATAATACCCTAAATTCAATCCCTTGTCCTGTTCATGCCTCCCCTCACCCAAAAAAAGGGAGGTGTGAGGAAAAAGTTAAGTAGGTAAGGGAAGTGACAAGGCTGGCCTTGAACTCTGCCTCCCAAGCGCTGAGATTAAAGGCGTGCACCACCGCACCCAGTTTAAAGATAAATTTTTTAAAAGGCTGGGGAGCCTGGTAGTACACACTTCTAATCCCAGCAATCCAGAGGTAGACAGGTGAATCTGTGAGATAGAGGCCATCCTTGTCTATATAGCCAGTTCAGACCAGCTAGGGCTACAGGAAGACCCTGTCTCAAAAAAACAAAAAGGCTTCTGGGTGTGGTGGTGCACGCCTTTAATCCCTTTAATCCCAGCACTTGGGAGGCAGAGGCAGGCGGGCCTTTCTGAGTTTGAGGCCAGCCTGGTCTACATAGTGAGTTCCAGGACAGCTGGGGCTACAGAGAGACCCTGTCTCAAAAAGACAAAAAAAAAAACAAAAAAAAAAAAATAAGAAGACTTCATAATAAATTTTAAAAAAAAAAAAAAAAAAAAAAAAAAAAAATCAGTAGACTTCATAATAAAATTTAAAAAAAACAAAAAGGCTTGGGAAAGCTAGGCATGGTGGCTCGGTGTTTGTAATCCCAGTACTTGGTTTATGTGGTAGGGTTGCTATGAGTTCAAGGCCATGTAGCAGATGCTACATACCAAGATCCTGTCTCACAAAAGCAGAGGAGGGCTGATGAGATGGCTCAGTAGATAAGGCACTGACTGCTGAGCCTGACAATCTTGAATTTGATCCCCAGTCCCACATGGTAGAAAGGGAACTAAGTCTTGCAAGTTGTGCCATGGTGCAACACACACACTCTCATGCACATGAATGAATGAATGAATGAATGAATGAATGAATGAATGAATGAATGGAGAGAAAGAAAAACCCAAAGGATCTGCTGAGTGTAGTGCATGTAAGTGTACTCATGTGGTGCAATGCCTGGTGGAGATCAGAAGAGGCATTGGATTACCCTTGAACTGGAGTTCAGACAGTTGTTAACCGATGGTGGGTGTTGGGAATCAAACCTGGGTCCTCAGCTGAGCCATCTCCCCAGCCCCTAGATGTAGACTTTTTTTTTTTTTTTTTGAGGCAGGGTCTCCCTGTAGCCCCAGCTGTCCTGGAACTCACTATGTAGACCAGGCTGTCCTGGAACTCACAAGAGATCCACCTGCCTCTGCCTCCTGAGTGGTGGGATTAAAAGGAATGCACCACCATCCCCAGCTTACATGTAGACTTTTTAAATGCATAGTACTGTTTGGGTGTTTTCCCATATTCAAGTTATCACTTACACATTGTATCAGTAGATATATGATGCTAGTTGGTTTGATACATAATATTAATTTTTATTAATAGAGTGATAAATGTCTCAACTGTATCCTTTCCCCTCTGAAATTAGTAAGTAACTATAAAATGATACTTTGAGTATAATTCTTCAGATTTTTCAAACAGGAGTTTTACATATGTAATTCTTGCCTGCATCAAGTTCTACCTAATGGCAGTTGCAAAATAGAGGAAATTTAGATGTTCTAAGGTTGATTCTTTGCTCCTATAACATTTTTTTCTTTGAAGTCTGTATATAAAACCCACAGGCTTTTCTTTATCCATTACATTGATTCCCTTTCAAATACTTCATCTTGTTAAAATCTATTTATTTGTGCATATTTGTTTATGGGCACACAAGTGGAGATCAGATGACCACTTCCTTCTACCATGTGGGTGGGTCCTTGGAGGGATAGAACTCAGGTCATCAGGGTTGGTGGCAAGTGCCTTTTCCTCCCAAGCTATCTTACTGGCTCCCAGCCCTTCAGTTTGAAAGCTACTTTTTGTGTGTGTGCTTTTTATAAATTAAGAAAACAAAGTGAGTTAATAAAAGGTTAACATATATAAGCCGGGCGTGGCAATACACTCCTGTAGTCCCAGAAAAAAAGGAAAGAAAATCCATGACAAAGTATCACAAACTAGGTGACTTTAAAAAAACAAAAATTAGGCTGGAGAGATGGCTTAGCAGTTAAGAGCCCTGGCTGCTTTTGCAGAGGACCCAGGTTCTGTTCCCAGCACCCATGTGGAGACTAACAACTGTCTGTAACTCCAGTTCCAGGGAATTCAACACCATCTTCTTGCCTTCATGGGCATTGTACTCATATACTGCACTTCAGACCAAACAGTCATATATATAAATATATATATATATAAAACATTTAAAATAAAAGTCGATTTCTTCATAGTTCTGGGAGACCAAAAATCCAAAATCAGGATAGAACCAGGGCCTTTGAACTTGAAAGCTGAAGGAGACTCCAGCATATATTTGAAGCTTCTCAGTTTCCCAGCAGTCATTGCTGTTCCTTCGCTCGTACATGCATTGCTCCAGCCTCACTGTGTTCTGTCTTCCTAGCATCTCCCTTCTGTGTGTCTCCATCCAAATTTGTCCCACTTTTGTAAGGACACTAGCAATTATCTAGGACTCACCCTAGTGACCTTAATTTAATTTTATTACTTTTAAAATGATCCTATTTCCAAATGTGGTCATATCTGTAAACACAAGAGGTTAGAATTTCATAACTTTGAAGTAACATAATATCTAGTTTTCTCTTGAGAGAAACTACAAAACAGAGAAATCAGGGACTGAAGAGGTGGCTCAGTGGCTCAGAACACTGGCTGCTCTTGCAGAGGACCCAGATTCAGTTCCAGCACCCACATGGTGGCTAACAGCCATCCTTAACTCTAGTTCCAGGGGATCCAGCGCACTCTTCTGGCATCTGTGGGCATTGCATTCAAGGGTGCATTACATGCATGAAAGCAAAGCACTCATGCACATAAAGGAAAATAAGTGAAAAAAACAATCTTTTTAAGTTAGAGAAATTGAGCTAGGCATGGTGGCGCACACCTTTAATCCTGGCCCTTGGTAATCTGAGGTAGGAGGGTCACAAATTGGAGGCTAGATCCTTAATATTTTTTTTTCTTCACTGTTTAATTCTCCTTCCCTTAAGTATACTATTATGGGGTTACTTTGAAGTACTCCATTGGTGTTTTTGTTTGCTGGAAATTGGACCCAAAGACCTTACAGGTGCTAGGTATGTGCTCTGCCCAGCTAACTCACGTCTCCAGCCCTGTTTTTTGCAGTTATTTTAATGAAGTCTAGAAGCGAATGTTTTATGTGCATATTGAATGCGAATATTTTATGTGCAAATGCGCCAGTTGAAACAACAAAAAAACCCTCTGGCTTTTTAAAGTGGAATACCAAAAGAAGACAGTATTGCTACCTTAATAATTGTATGTTTTACTTTAATTTTTCGGGTAAGTTGGGTTTTTTTTCTGTTGGGTCTTACTATGCAGCGCTGACTGGCCTGGAACTTCGTTGTAAACCTGGCTGGCCTCCAATTCACAGAGATTCACCTGCCTCTGGGATTAAAGGTGTGTGCTACCACACCTCGCCTTGCAATTAGGTTTTGATGAGAGGTCAAAATTATCCATAAAGTTCTGTACTGCCTCTAATACTATTTTCTTTTTGATATGAACAGTTGATGACTATCAGCCAGTTCATCTACTGAGTAAGCCTGGGGAATTGAGAAGAGAATATGAGGAGGAGATAAGCAAGGTAGGTGTTAAATAGGTTTTGAGCCATTATGGTTTTTTTTTTTGTTTTTTTTTTTTTTCGGTCTCTTTGAGACAGGGTCTCCCTGTAGCCCCAGCTGTCCTGGAACTTACTATGTAGACCAGGCTGGTCTTGAACTCACAGAGATCCGCCTACCTCTGCCTCCCGAGTGTATGCTTTCTTAAAATTTCTCTGTTGTGCTTTTTTTTTTCCTAATGTGTATGCATGTATTGCCTGCATGTAGGTAAGTGCACCCGTGTCGTGCAATGCCCACGGAGGACAGAAGAGGCTGTTGGATCTCCTAGAACTGAGTTATGGACAGTTGTTAGCTGCCATGTGGGTGCTGGGATTCAAACCCGGGTCTTCTGCAAGAACAATCAGTGTTCTTAACCGCTGAGCCATATCTCCAGCCTCCATCTCTGTTGTGCTTTTAGTCTCAGATTTACATATAGTTTTAGGTGTTTATATAATTAAAAAAAACTTTATTTTATGTGTATGAGTGTTTTGTGCCTGCACCCATGGAAATCAGAGAAAGCACTAGATTCCCCTGGAACTGGAGTTATAGTCAGTTGTTAACTGCCATGTGGGTGGTGGGAACTGAGCCCAGCTCTTCTGAGCAGGATCATAATTGCTGGGCCATCTCTCCAGGCCTCCCCAGCCGCCCCCCCCCCTTTTTTTTTTCCTGAGACAGGGTGTCTCTGTGGCCCCAGCTAGCCTAGAACTCACTATGTAGATGGGTCTGGCCTTGATCTCATACAGATCTGCCTCCCAAGTATTTTATGTGTATGAGTGTTTTGCCTGCATGTTATGCAAATGCATCCATATATACAATACCCACGGAGGCCAGAAGAGGGTGTTGGATTCCCTGGAGTTACAGGCAGTTGTTAGCCACCATGTGGGTACTTGGAACCAAACCTAGATCCTCTGTAAGAATTGCCAATACTCTTAACCACTGAGTCATTTCTCCAGGCCCTAAAGGTCCTATTTCTAAACATTCATAAACTAGCTTCTTCTAGTTTTTTGGCTTTGTTTTGAGACAGGTTCTCACTATATAGCCTAGGCTGACCTCGAACTCACTGAAATCTTCTGAGATTAAAACCATGTGCCACCATACCCAGCTGAAGTCAAGTGTTTGAGTTTGGCTTTTTGGTGTGTTCATACATGTAGAGGCACATGTGTGTGCCTGAACCTGGAACTTACCAATTCAGCTAGACAGGCTAGCCTGCAAGCCTCCAGGATCCACTTACCTCCCCAGCCCTAGAATTACCGACACATGCCACCACACCCAGCTTTTTTTTTTGTCTTTTTGAGACAGGGTCTCCCTGTAGCCCCAGCTGGCCTGGAACTCACTATGTAGACCAGGCTGGCCTGGAACTCTGCCTCCCAAGTGCTGGGACTAAAGGTATGCGCCACCACACCCAGCTCACACCCAGCTTTTATGTAGGTGCTGAGGATCCAAACTCAGGTCATCATGTTTGGACAGCATGTACTTTATCAGACTTAGCCATCTCCAAAGCCCCCTAAAGTCAAGATTTTGTTTTAAAAATCATTTGTGTGTGTGTGTGTGTACAGAAGGAGTTGAGTTTCTCTATTACTCTCCACCTGTTCCTTTTAGGCAGGGTGTCTCCTGAACCCAGGGCTTGCCGTTTTTGTTCAGTAGCTACATATGACTAATGCATACTTTAATGGATTGTGAAGGTCTAGAAGACCTAATCTCATCTCATGTAACCCAACTAGTCTGGAATTTTCTATGGCTATGTAACTATGTATGGATTTGGACTCTGGATCTCTTTCCTCTGATTTCCAAATGCTGAGATTTTAGGCATGTGTTACCATACCCACCTTAAAGTGTTTCTTGTATTTTCTTTTTTTAAAAAATATTTTTATTATTTTTATGTGTATGAGTGTATTGCCTGCATGTAAGTGAGTACACCCATGTCGTGCAATGCCTTGGAGGTCAAAAGAGGGCATCGGATTCCCCTGGAACTGGAATTAAGGATGATTCATAGTCGCCATGTGGGTTCTGGGATTTGAACCCAGGTCCTCTGGAAGAGCAGTCTGAGCTCCTAACTGCTGAGTCATCTCTCCAGCCCCAATCATTCTATCTCTTTTGTTAAGGTTTGATTTAAGAAGCTAGACCCAAACATGGCATGGTGGTGCACGCCTTTAATCCCAGCACTAGGGTGGCAGAGGTAGGTGGATCTCTGTAAGATCCAAGCCAGCCTAGTCTCCATAGTGAGTTCCAGGCCAACTGTGGCTACAGGGAGATCATACCTCAAAAAGATCAGAGAGAGAGAGAGAACGCACACAAGCTAGGTTTAGGGGCTAGAGAGATGGCTCAGCTGTTGAGAGAGAGAGAGCTTGCTGTTTTTCCAGAGGACCTGAATTCAGTTCTAGTACCTATGGCAGGTGGCTTACAACTACTTGTAACTCCAGCTCTAGGGGATCCAATTCTGGCCTTTGAGGATGCCTGCACACAATTTTTTTTTTTAAAGAAGTCAGGCCTAAGCTGGGTGTGGTGGCACATGCCTTTAATTCTAGCACTTGGGAGGCAGAGAGAGGTGGATCTGTGAGTTTGAGGCCAGCCTGGTCTACATAGTGAGTTCCAGACTTGCTGAAGAGACCCTGTCTCAGAAATACCAAAAGAAAAAAAAGGTCTAGAGTATTCCTCCCTTGAAGACCCTTCCACTCTCAAGAGTTTTCTTTTCTCTAATAAATCTGTTTGCTCTGCTTTTAAAAAAAAAAAAAAAATGGCCGGGCCTGGTGGCACACACCTGTAGTCCCAACACTCAGGAGGCAGAGGCAGGCAGATCTCTGTGAGTTCAAAGCCAGCCTGATCTACATAGTGAGTTCCAGGACAGCTGGGGCTACAGGGAGACCTTAGCTCAAAAAGACCATTTAAAAAAGAAAAGTTTAGAATGTCTTTTATCAACCGTTTTTAAGGTGGAGGCTGAGCGACGAGCCAGCAAGGAAGAAGAAAACAAAGCCAGTGAGGAGTACATACAGAAATTGTTGGCAGAGGAGGAGGAGGAGGAGAAAAGACAAGCCGAAAAAAGGCGAAGTGAGATGGAAGAACAGCTGAGAATTGACGAGGAATTGGCAAGGAAGCTAAGTGGCAGCATTGTAAGTGCGGGGGCTGTTCCTGCCGCTTTGACCTGGAGAAGCCATTGCTACAATTAGAAGTTTTTGAGGATCTCCTTGCTCTACTTGAGACAAAAGCTTTTCATTACAAACTTTGTTATATGGAACTTTTTTGTGCATTATGTATTTGCTGTATTCGGGATACTTGATTTTTGGTTTTTGTGGGTGGTTTTGTTTTGAATGTTGAGGGTCAAACCCAGGTCTTTGTATGTGAGCTACACTTCAGACTGATTGTTTTATTTTGGTTTTTGAGGCAGGTCTTGTTCTGTAGCCTAGGTTGGCCTTGAACTCTTTAACCATCCCGCCTCTCCTTCCCGGATGCTGGCATTATAGGTATTTGCCACCATTTCCAGTCTGATTCTTAAATTGAACCTGGTCTTTGTTATCGGACTGTCAGATTACTGTGTATGAGAAAAATGAAAAGCAAGATGGTAAAAAGCAAGATGATACTGGGACCCAGTGACTTAAAAGTGCCTGATGGATTGAACCCAAAGCCTTGCACATGCTAGGCAAGTGCTGTAGGACTGAGCTGTATACCCTCAGCCCACCTAGGAGTCTTTTAAAATACAAACTTTCATATCTACTCTAAACCTTTTGACTTGGAGTCTCCAAGAATGAAACTTAGTGAATACTATCTGCAGAAACATTTAGGAATATCTGAAATATTCAGGTTATATGTATATGCGTGTATGCCTGCATGAGTTTATGTGCTTCATATGTATGCAAGAGCCCAGGGATCCCAGAAGAGAGCATCTGCTCTCCTGGAAATGGAGTTACTGGTGGTTATGAGCTGCCATGTGGGTGATGGGAACCAAACCCCGGTATTCTGCAAAAGCAGTTATCATTCTTTAACTCTTGAGCTATCTCTCCAGCCCCCAATTCCTCTGCTTTTAAACAAGAACAGATACCTTAGAATATGTTTCAAAAAAGGAAGTATACCCAGAATTGGAGGTTTTTTTCCATTTTGAGACCCAACTTTTTTATTTTAACAGGGTCTCCCTGTAGTCCATACGTGTTTTGAGATAGGATCTCCCTAGCCTGGAACTCTCTTGATGTAGACCAGGCTGGCCTCTTGAACTCAGATATCCACCTGCCTCTGCCTCCCAGAGTGCTGGGATTAAAGGCGTGCACCACCACGCCTGGCTTGTGACTCAACATTTATAATATGCTCAAGTTTTGTGGACTGTATTCCCCCTTCTGTATATCCTTTTCTCAATTTGTTTAGAGATTTAGAAAGATACACAATCAGGAAATTTTTTCTTTCTGGTCGCTGCAGGTTCAAGGCCAGCTTAGAGTACACAGTGAAACCCCATCTTAAGAAATGAAGGAGGGGAGGTAGGGAGATGGCTCAGTGGTTAAGAACACTGGTTGTTCATGCAGAAAACCTAGGTTCAAATCCCAGCACCCACATGCCATTAACAACTGTCTGTAACCCTAGTTTCAGGGGCTCCAACAGCCTCTTCTGTCTTTTGAGGGCATTGCACAACATGGGTACACTACATACATGCAGGCATAACACTCATACACATAAAATAAAAATAATTTTTTAAGAAATGAAGGAAGCGGCTGGAGAGAGGGCTCAGCGGTTAAGATCACTAGTGGTTCTTACAGAAGACCTGGGTTCCAATCCCAGCACTCACATGGCAGCTAACCACCGTTGGTAACTCCAGTCCCAGGGGATCCGACAGCCTCTTCTGACCTCCGTGGGCATTGCACGGAACGGGTGCACTTACCTACATGCAGGCAATACACTTATACACATAAAATAAAAATAACTTTTAAAATTTTATTTTAAAAAGAAGGAAGACCAGGCGTTGTGGCACAGGCCTTTAATCCTAGCCCTTGGGAGGCAGAGGCAGGCAGATCTTTTCAGTTTTGAGTTTTGAGACCCTGTCTCAAAAACACCAAAAAAATAAAGAGGAGGAGGAAGAAAGGACACTGTTAGATAATAATAATTGAATAATAAATGGACTAGAGATGGAAATAAGTTGAAGAGGAGAATTGTTAATGTGAAATTTTAGTGATGTGAGAAATCATATGAACTGATTTCTGTTTAATAACTTTTATTCCAGGTATATATTTGGCTCTTTAAATTTCTCCCTAGTGGGTTGAGGTAGTTTATAATTACATGAATGTAACTATAAGCTAAGACATAAGTATCTTCATTGTTCTGTGGGAGGAACTCACTAAGCCATCTTACCTCTTATGTACTTTAAATTACATTTAGATTACTTATGATCTATAATACAATGTAAATGTTAGTTTTTTAGACACAGTCTCCCTGTAGCTCCAGCTGGTTTAGAAGTCACTATGTAAAGGAGGCTGACCTCTATCTGACAGAGGTCCACCTGCCTCTGCCTTCTGGGTGCTGGGATTAAAGGCTTGCCCCACCATACCTGGCTTGTAAATGCTATTTAAGTAACTATTAGGTTATATAGTTAAGGGAATGATGAGAACAAAGTCTGTATGGAGTCAGTATTCTTTTGAGACTATGTAGAATTTAAGTGTAATTTCTGAAATTTTTTGAATTAGCCCAATTGATAGCTTCTTTTTTCATAAAGCTCCCTTTAATAATGTCTTCATATTTTTTTCTTATTATCGAAGAACAATAACTATGAGAGAGAAATCATGACTTCTCCCCTGAGTTCCAGAAAATCAGATCCAGTTACAAACAGGTCACAAAAGAAAAAAATGAGCAAACAAAAAAACATTGGAGATATTCAGAAGTAAGTGAACACTACCATCATTTACTTATTGACCATCTGCTGTTTGCCTTTGTTTTTTGTTTATAGAGACCACAGATTATTCAGGTTCTGTCTGTGACCTCTACATGAAGACCCTGAAGATATTTGAGACTGATCTTAATTGAAAGAAAAGGAAAACATAAGTCAGTGTTTCTATTCAAAATTATATTGAATATTTTAGTTTGGGGCTGGCAAGGTGACACAGTGGGTAAAGGCATTTGCTGCACAGGTCTAGTGACCTGAGTTCAGTCCCTGGAACCCATATAAAAGTAGAAGGAGTCAATGCTGTTGTAATGAAATGCTTCTTCTAATTATGTGGTTATTAAATAAATAATTTTAAAAAAGTAGAACCAGCTCTACAAAGTTGTCTCTGACCTCTATGCATGCCATGGCATGGGCTCACCTATATGCACAAATAATATAAGCATACAATAATACTTTTTTTTTAAGTTTTAGCATGTCTGAAAAAGTCGTACAGCCAGGCATGGTGGTGCATGCCCTTAATTCCAGCACTTGAGAGGCAGAGGAAGGTGAATCTTGTGAATTAGAAGCCAGCCTGGTCTACATAGCGAGATCCAGGCCAGCTGGGCCTACATGGAGACTCTGTCTCAAAAGACAAAAAGAAAAAGTCACACAATACTAAGTAGAGATACAAATGAAACTGTTTAAGGGGCTGAGGATATGGCTCAGTTGGTAAGAGTGCTTGCCTAGCATGCAGGAAGCACTGAGTTCTATCTCTAGTTCCACATAAAACAAGGCATAGTCATAGACAATCCTGTAATCCCATCCCTTAAGAGATGGGGGCAGGAAGATCAGAAAAGTCAGGGTCATTCTCAGCTATATTTGTATGTGTACACAATGTACATGTGGATGTCAGAGGACTTTTAGGAGTTGGTGATCTCTTTCCAGCTGAGTTCCCAGGATTAATGGCAAGTACCTTTACCTGCTAAACTATCTCACTGGCCCCCCAAAAACTTTTAAATAAGAGATGAGGAGGCTGAAGAGATGGTTCAGTGGTTGTTTGCGGCTTTTCCAGAGGACCCAGTTTCCTGTACCCACATTAGGTGACTCATAACCACCTGTTACTCCAGCTCCAGGGGATTTGTGCTTTTTTTGGCTTCCATGAGCACACATACACACAACATACAATCACACACACACAAATATATACACATAAAACAATTTTTTAAAAGCAGCCAGGCATGGTGGAGCACACCTTCATTTAATCTGAGCATTTGGGAAGCAGAAACAGGCAGATCTCAGTGAGATCAAGGCCAGCCTAGTCTACATAGAGAATTTCAGGCCAGCTAGAGGTACAGGGAGACCCTGCCTCAAAAAAAGAACAGCAAACAAACAAAAAATGTAAGATGAGGACCAGCAAGATGGCTCAGTGGGTAAAAGCTCTTCCCATGCAAGTCTGGAAGCCTGAGTTAGAGCTCTGGAACCTATGTAAAGATGGGAGGAGAGAACTAAACTGACTCGCAGTGAATTAATTTTTTCTTTCTTTCTTTCTTTCTTTCTTTCTTTCTTTCTTTCTTTC